TCCTTCTTCTGTCCCTCCCTCCCTCCCTTCCTCCTTCCTTCCTTCCTCTTCCCCTCCCCCTTTCTTCCTTGTGTTATTTCACTTATGAGAATAAGATTTTTTTTTGCCCCCTCACAAACTAGGAGACCTCCTGTGACCAAAGTGAAGGTTCTTGTTCTTCAGACGAAGATGAATGGAAGAGTGATAGAAAAAGTGAAAGTTACAGTGAAAGTTCAAGGTATCTGTTTTTGTTTTGCTCTTTTAGGCATTTTGGTCACAGCCTTGGACAAAACTGTATTTGAATAACACTCAATAATCTTAAGAGTTTGCAAATGTGTTACAAATCAACATTCAGTTTTCAATATATGTAAAAGAAGAGGCTGGGCTGTAACTCAGTGGGAGAGAGCTTGCATTGCATCTGTGAGGCCCTGTGTTCGAATCCTGGCACGGCTTAAAAAGGTGGTTATGATAGATTTTTGCTGGGTGTGTTGGCATGTGATTATAATCCTAGCTATGCAGGAGGATAGAGTTTGAGACTAGCCTGACCATTTAATGGGCCTTGTCTCAAAATTAAAAAGCAAAAAGAATTAAGGATGTAGCTCAGTGGTACAGTCCCCTCATTTGAATCCCCAGTGCCTCATGAGGGTGGAGTGAGTAGTTCCCTGCATTAACGGCTGTCCCTGTAGACCTACTCGGAGGACTTGCAGTTGGCCATCATTTGACATGGCCATAGTAACCAGCTTAGTCTCGGCTGCATTTAACAAGAGGATTCCTGAGGTATGGTGAAGCCACTAGAATATTTCACTGCTGTTGTACGCGTTGCTCTTCTTTAGGTTTGGGAGTCACCTTTCATTGGATCAGAATGTCAGCCTGCTCTTATCTTGGTGAACACCACCTTCTGGCTCAGGGCAGAAAGTTGACTATTACTGTACTCTTTTCTACTCAGGCTGTCTGTAATCATGTCCAGAAAGTTCTGTCATCTAAATACCACTCTGACCATCTTAGTCTGGTTAGCTGTTTTCATCAATACTCTCTTGGTCCAAACCACAGTCAGACACACTGTGCTTTCGTTCTTGGTCTTCTTTTGCTCCATTTTGATTAGGAATTGGAACAGTGCTTCAGAACATAGGAATATTCAATTTTCTTTTAAATGTGATAAAACATAACGTAAAAACAACATCTCACCCATTTCAAGTGTGCAAGTCAGGGCATTCGTTTGTTTTGCAGTCTTCAGAGCCATCTTATTTGCAGAACTGAGACTCTGTGTCTGTTAAGTAGCAGTTTCCTCCCCTCTCTCCCTAGCGCCTGGCAGCCGCTATTGTCCTTTCTCTTTCTCTGTCTCTGTCTCTGTGCTGTCTTTTATTTCAGCTTTTCCTTAAGTTATAGATAAAGCAAAGCAGATGTTCTTAGAGGGTTTTTGCTTTTTGGTACTAGGAATTTAACCCAGGATTATTGCTCTGAGCTGTATCCACAGCCCTTATTTTTTATTTTGAGACAGGGTCTCACTGAGTTGCCCAGGCTGGGCTCAAACTCATCTTCTGCCTCAGCCTCCCGGAGTGCGGAGATTACAGGCCTGTGCCATCACACCTGGCTTCTTACAGGGTCTATAAGAAGCTATTTTTATAATAAATGCTTGTACCTTTTAGAAATGTGTTTTTGTGTGTATTTGTTTTTAAGGAGTGAGAGGTATATGGTTGAAGGTTGGCTAAAGAATGGTCCCAGTGGAGACCTTTTATCAACCTTTTCTGTGTTTGGTGAAGCGAATTATGGGCCAGGGGCTAGTCCTCGATTTCTTTAGCTCCTTCCTTGGATTTCTTGTCCTGTCTGACCCTTTAAAACTTTTTATCGGCGTGGCTTTCCATTGCTGGCCCCCACTCTCCAGCTCATGCGCAGCCTCTTCCAGACGACTGGTGTGTGTCTCCTCTTAGGGTTTTGTGTGATGTCTGCCATTTCTGGAGCTTTAGCTTTAATTTCCTGGGAGGGGCTTGTGAGCTGGGTGTACACGCTGTCTCGTGTTGGCTTTCGTCTGTAGTGACTGCAGGGGCTCATGGGAACTCTCAGGCTCAGGCTCATTCCTCGTTTCCATTGTCACTGAAGAGTGCTCTCTCTGCCCATGCTGTGACCTTTGGTCATTTCAGTCTTCTTCGGCAGCGTGGATAGGATGTTAAAGTTAGTTCTTACAGGCACCCTCCTACTCTTTCTCTGCTCTCTCACCCTCTCGGTCGTATGATTACCTTGCTGTGTAGCGCCTTAGACCCTGGTCCCACACAACCGGAAACGTTCTCCCTTTCCAGGGACTCCTCGTCTCGATACTCGGACTGGACAGCCGACGCAGGCATCAATTTGCAGCCTCCTCTGCGAACGTCATGTCGTCGACGAATTACCCGACTTTGTAGTAGTTCAGAGGATGAAATATCTACTGAGAATTTATCTCCTCCGAAAAGACAGAGGAGAAAGAAAGAAAGTAAGCCTAAAAAAGAGGTAAGAACAAGGTGCATTTTAAAGAATAACACGTATCTACCTTTTATAGAGGTGTTGTTTGCCATATCAACTAACCAGAAATCTTTGAGAAATCGGAGCCGGCCAGCCTGCCCGCCCCACACTCCCCTCCTTCCTCCTCTGCTGTCTCCCATCGCCCTTTTCCTTTCCCTTCCCTTCCCCTTCCTTTCCCCTCTTCCTCTCCCCCGTACTTGTGTGGTGCTGGCGATGGAACCCATGGCCACACCGAGGGAGTGCTCTACCGCTGACTCACACTCCTCCATTTATTTCTCTTTTTAAAAAAATTTTTTTTCTTTTTATTGAGTTTATTGGTACATTCTAGGTATACAGTACAGTTACATTCATTACTAGGATCTTGTACCTTTACATGACAGGTCCTGGTTCTCATTTTTTCCCCTTTTCCCTGCCCTCCCTTCACCCCCTCCTCCCCTCCCCATTTACAAACACTTTATTTCCATTTTTTCATTTTCTCATATTTTTTCTTTTCCCTTATTCCCTTTCCCCTACCCTTCCCACTTTCCCTACACCTTGAGTCCTCCACTTATTTCCATGTTAACGCTGTTACGTCAGCAGGAGTCACACACAAAAAATAAACTTACTTTGGGAGAGAGGGAGGGCAGGTGGGCTGTAGTTGATACGGAAAGCTTACCCGTGTGGCTTTTGGCCTGAGTGGACGCTTGCGTGTGCTTGGAACCAGAGTTAATGGTCTGGCGGAGTGAGCTCGGTGCCTCTGAGGGCCGACACTCGGATGGTACCCCTGTCACCTCTGCTTTATTGTGTGCGTTGGGAGTGAGTGTTCAAGAGTAGACTTCATCTACTGGAAGGGGAGGAGACGGCTGTCAAAGAACCAAAAGGCTTAAAACTTCACATCAGGAGATAGTCTTTGTGATTGTTAGCCTGCGGTCAGGTTCAGAGTGGAGTCTTGGTAGAAAAAGCAGTGTGTGGAAGAAGAGTTAGGTCGGAAATTAGCCCCTACCGTGGGGTGTAAGATGAAATGACCTTAGAAATTCTGGAAGTGCTGCTCGCAAAGCGCTGGGTTGATCTGCAGTGCCTTTAGAAGTGGCATGCTGCTGTCTGTGTTCAGGAACTAAATAACCAAGCTGTTTTTAAAAAGTGATCATTAGGGGCCGGGGATTTAGCTCAGTGGTTCTAGTGCCTACCTTGCAAGCGCAAGGACCCGAGTTCATCCCAGGTACCAAAAAAAAAGAGTGAAGAGTGATCATTACCTGATCGTGCCAAAAATAGTCATTGTGAGGGCTGAAGTTTCTTTCATTTTCAAGTAGTGCATGTTGCCTCTTTGTTTCTACTGAGCTATGTTCTCTTTTCCTTGCAGAGAGAGGGTGAGCAGAGGATGAGTTCAACAGAGCTTGAAAATATGGAACACTTACATGAATTTCATCCTCCAGTGTGGATAACGGACACCACACTTCGGAAGTCCCCCTTTGTTCCTCAAATGGGTGACGAGGTGAATGATTATACATGCAATATAAAATGTATATTGCACATGAGCTTTCTATTTTAAATGTATACTTCCTTTTTGTAGGTCATCTATTTTCGACAAGGCCACGAAGCTTATATTGAAGCTGTCAAAAGAAATAACATTTATGAACTGAACCCTAACAAGGAGCCATGGAGAAAAATGGATCTTAGGGTAGGTCAGTGGTACTATTAAGCTACTCAGTATTAGCTCATATGTAGTTCAGTTGTTATAAGTCCACTAAGAAACCCATTGGGAGTATAGTTCATTGCTCTCTCTCATTTTAAAAAATATTCCTGCTCTTAGCTGCCAACTCATAGATCTGGTGAGGTGGCTGGCCAGAAGGGTACATGTAATTCATTTGTTTTGAGTTAGCAGAGTACAAATAAATAAATACTACAATGTAGAGTCTCTCAGGGAGGCATTGTGTGGCTGTGGTATTATTAATATTAAAAATACTTGTACTCAAAACATTTTCAGAAGAAAAAATCAAGTTTTAAAAAGAAGATATAGCCAGGGATTTAGCTCAGTGGTTCTGCTGCCTGCCTCGCAAGCACAAGGACCTGAGTTCGATCCCTGGTACCAGAAAAAAAAAAAAAAAGAAGAAGAAGAATAGAAATCAGAAGGAAATTTATTGTCATGCATAAAAAATATAGTAATATATTTCCAGGGCTGGGGATTTTAGCTCAGTGGTTCCATGCTGCCTCGAAAGCACAAGAGCCTGAGTTTGATCCCTGGTACAAACAAACAAACAAACAAAAAAAACAAAAAAAAACCCAACAGAAACAAATAATATATTTCTAGTACTTAATCAGATTTATAATTTTCCTTTTTTGTAAATAATTTTTTAACAGTTACTGAAATTGCTTATAGGGTGTGTGTAGTGTCTAGGCTTTTGGCAATACAAATTGAAGGTGAAAAATTCTTAAGTCTTTTAAATCAGTGCTTTTACTTCTGTTAAAGACACAAGCAGAAATACTTGTACATTTATGAGAAAGGCAGTGCTTTTTTTGGGTTTTGGGGATTGAACTTGGGTGCTTGTGTTCACGAGGTAGTCTGTGGAACCACTGAGCTAAACCTCTGGCCCTAAAAAGGCAGTTTTATCTCCTCATAAAACAAGAAATTGGGGGAGTAAACCCCAAGTACCGTGTCATAGTGAATCATCGTGTCATGGTGCGTCCCCACATCAGCTGCTGTGTAAAGCCTACCTTGTAGTTGAGGTTTGTTGGATACATTTTCGTAATTATTACAAACAGGTGAGTTGGAATATAAAATTCTGTTGTGATTGTAATAGCAAGATTTTGTCATTGACTGTGTGTGTAACCTAAACATAAGCATCAAAATACAATGGTGATTAACCGTGGACTAGCATTATGAGTATTTTTTATACTTTTACATATTGGGATACTTTTAATAACTTTAGAAAATAGAAGAAATGATTTTAACAGAGATAGCTGTCCTTCAAGTTTGTACATGCTGGTCCTGTTTGAGTTTTACTTTGTATACATTTCACTCACTACTGAGTTACCAGGGAATAGTCAGTCCTCATTATTCAGGGATTTCGTTTTTGCAAGTTGCACACTCGCTGTGAATTACTTAGAACTTTTGACTCTGTACTCATGGGCTTTCTGGTCGTTCCTGAACATGTGCAGAAAGGCAGGAAGTGCGGATTGCCCGAGACTGTGCTCCTGTCATGGCTGAATGGGACAGCTCACTTGCCTTCTTTCTCGTTTCACTTCTTATCTGTAGCCAAGTTTTTAATGCTATGTGTTGCTCATGTTTGTGATTTTTTTCGTTTTCTTCCTCTTGGTGACTTTGCTTTTTATCATGGCCTCCATGCATAATATTGAAATGCTATCTTAATATCCCTACGGTGGCTGTGGTAGGTCCTAGGACCTGCCTGATTCAGGTGTGAGTCACAGTGCATTAGATGTGAGTTCAGTGTCAGTGAAGAAACACATTGTTCATGTGCCTTGAGTGGGAGCACATGAAAGCCATGTGCTGATCAGCTTGCTAATGCTGTGTCCTGAGTCTCAGGGGAGCCGGGCTTTGGCTTTCCTGTGGGCACCGTGATCTGAGCTCTAGTTTAGTTTTCTAGGCAGATTTATACACAGAACTGCTGCAAATGAGAATGTATTTCAGTATAATAATCCAATATAGCGTGCTTTTTCCCTGTTTTTAAAAAATCCACACATAAAATTATATGTATTTATGAGGTATGTTTTAATAGATGTATATATTGTGTGACATTGAAATCAGGATAAACGTAACTGTCTCAAACATGTATCATATCTGAGGTAAAAACATTCTATTCTTCTAGCTTTTTTGAAAAGTTGTTTTGAAAACTTGATATTGTTGTTACCATTCAACATATGTGCAATAAGAAACCAGAATTTCATTCTCATCTCTGAACAGTTTCAGTTGGCCCCCCTTTGCCTGTCCCTGTCCCCTACTCTCCCCCGCCTCTAGTGGCCACTGCTGTACTCTGAACTCCTCTGAGATGGACTTTGTCACAGAGCCCTCATGTGAATGAATGAGACTGTGCAGCAATTACTGTGTCTGGCTTATTTCACTTAATATAATGACGCCCAGTTCTGTACATATGGTTGCAAATGACACTGTTTCATCCTTTTAAAAAATTGTTTATTAATTTTGGGAGACAGTACAGGCTGGCCTTGAACTTGCTATGTAGCCCTGGCTGGCCCAGAACTTGAGGTTCTCCTGCCTCAGTGCTGGAGTACTAGTGCTGAGTGCTGGGATCCAGCTTCATTGTGTTTGTACTATATTTTCTTCATCCAGTTATCAGATGATACATTGTTTCGGTTTCTTGGCTACTGCTAATACTGCTGCAGTAAACATGAGAGTACAGAATGTCTCTTTACCCTGATTCCACATACCTAGTACAGGAATTGTTGGATCATATAGTAGTTTCATTTTTAATTTGGAGGGGGAACTGCTGTACTGTTTCCATGATGGCTGTGCTAACTTATATTCTCACCAACAGAATGTAAAGCTCCCTTTTCTCTGTATCCATGCCAGCCCTTGTTATCTTCTGTTGTAGATAATAGACATTCTTACTGGTTTGGGGTGGCATCTCACTGTGGTTTTGGTTTGCATTTTCCTTACAGTGATGTTGTATGCTTTCCTGCACACCTCTTGGCCTTTTGTATGTCTTTTGAGAAGTGTCTGTTCTGCTGCCTGTTTTTAAATTGAATTGTTTTATTGCTGTTGAGTTGATTGAGTTCCTTATGTATTTTGGATATTAGATTCTTGTCAGATGTATAGTTTGCCTTTGTTGTCTACCATTTTGTAGGTTCTCTACTCTGTTGTTTCCTTTGCAGTGTAAAAGTGTTTTAGTTTCTTGTAATTCCATTTGTCTTTTTTTCTATTGTTTTCTCTGCTTTTGGGAGTCGTGTTCAAGAAATCTTTACTTTTCTAATGCCTTGAAGCATACCCTTATGTTCTTCTGTGTTTGCATAGATTCAGGTCTTTCATTTAAATCTCTAATCTGTTTTGACTTGACTATTCTGTATTTTAAGAGATTTTTAGGTCTGTTTTCTTTCTTTTTTTTTTTTGAGACAGGGTCTCACTCTGTAATTCAGGTTGGCCTTGAACTCACTATGCAGCCCAGGCTGGCCTCGAACACACGGAGGTCCTCCTACTTCAGCCTCCTGAGTGCTAGGATTACAAATGTGCAGCATCATGCCTGGCTTGTTTCCATTTTTCTGCATGTGGATATCCAATTTTTCCAGCAGCATTTATGGAAGAGCCTGCCCTCTCTCCCTTGCAGGCTCTTAGTTATCTTTATCAAAGCTGGTAGTTGCAGACATATGGGATTTACTTTGAGGTTCTTTATACTGTTCCATTGGCCAGTGCACATGTCCATATGCCAGTACCATACTATGTTGATTACTACAGCTTTGTTGTATATACTGGAAACAGTGTAGTGGCTCCTACTTTGTTTTGTTTTTTTCTAGAGATTGCTTTGGCTCTTTGAGTTTTACTGTAGTTCCATATGAGTTTTAGGGCTATTTTTTTTCTTGTTTACTGAATAATGTCACTAGTACTTTGATAGGGATTACATTGAATCTATAGAGCACTTTGAGTGTGTGGATATCTTAGCAATATTAACTCCTCAAATCCGTGAATGTGGAATAACTGCAATATTTTTGGAGTTCTTTTCAGTTCCTTTCATAAGCATTCTTTCTTTTTCCTGTAGAAATCTCACCTGTGGTTAAATTTATTCCTAGGTTTTTTCTTTTTGGTGGCTTTTGTAAACAAGATTGCTTTCTTGGATAATCACATGGAGTGTTTAATGGGTGGATAGACCATGATCGATTGTGTCAATGGGGAGGGCTGGTCACAGCAAACTCATTGGTGGCTGTTCCCCAGGTGACTATGTGCCCCTTCACTGTACAAACCCTTGGCCTGCAGTGGCTCACAGGATATAGTGGATTTTCAACAGATGCCGTTTCTTGGATGTATTAAGCAGGAATGTAATACAATACCAACTTCTTGTAGAATATTTATGAATAAGCAAAATGTGAATACATCTTGACTACATAATGTAAAATTATAGAAGTAAAACTGTGTATAAAGAAAGCAAGAAGGAAATATGTTGGATTGTTAATAGTGGTTGTGTTTAGATAGCAAGCTGATTGATTACTTATGTTTTCATTCTTATATTTTTGCAGTGTATTTTCTAAAGTGAGTATATTTTTTATATTAAAACTGTATAGGGCCGAGGATGTAGCTCAGCGGTGCTGCACCTGCCTGGCAAATGCAGGGTCCCAAGTTTGGTCCCCGGTACCAAAGACAAAACAAAACAAATGTATAAAGTATCTGTGGTCATTACTAAGATTAGCAAAATGATGTAATTGATGACAAATTAAACTTGTTTGTTGATTCGGAAAATTATGAGTTTGCTTTAATTCGGCAGTAAGTGGAGAATTACAGTATTAAAGAAATATTCATCTGTTTAAGGATCAAGAATTGGTCAAAATAGTTGGAATACGGTATGAAGTTGGGCCCCCAACGCTCTGTTGCCTTAAACTAGCATTTATAGACCCTGCAACTGGCCGACTAATGGATAAATCTTTCTCTATTAGGTATGTATTATGTTTTAATGTAATTTTTAAAATTTAGATTTTTCCATCCTGCTGATTTGCATGCTCTTCCTCTTCAGCAGTGTACTGTGCAGGTTGAGCTTTTGAAGGATGGGAGGAAGCCCCATAATCATGTAGGCCTGTCAAGCAGTAGTAAGGCAGAGACGGTCTGTTTTAGATGGTTTTCCATATACCACTTGCCTGGGCAGAGAATTCCTACTGGTCAGGGCAGTTGCTTCTGCCTTCATTTTAGATGGAATTTGGGAGTAAATACTGTGTTGTGCTACATTGGTGGCTGTCCATTATGGCCATCACTAACTATATGTGGCTGTCGAGCACTTGGAATGTGGCTGATTTGGACTGAGTGTATGTTGTAAGTGTACATGTTCCATCTTAAAGGCTTGGAATGAAGGAAGAGAATGCAAAATACCTCTTTACATATTGAAGTAATATTTAAGATATATTTGGTTAAATAAAATACATTGCTTTCTTTTTACCTTTTTGAAATACAGCTAGTCAAAAATTTAAAATTATATATTTCTATTGTATTTCTTTTTTGATAATATCTATTCTGTAATAATTTTTAATTCTTGTCTAGATACCATGATATGCCGGATGTTATTGATTTTCTTGTGTTGCGTCAGTTTTATGATGAAGCAAGACAGAGAAATTGGCAGTCTTGTAAGTCTGTCCTTATTTTTATATGTAGCCTTAAAATTTATTCTTTCACATAACTGAGCTCTCTTTTTGATTGTAGCCCTCGTAATTATGTTGTATATAGACATGTAAAGTCTTGAAGGAAACATAAGTGACCTACAGATATATTCTGCTTAGGACTTGTTATCGATGGCACTGGTCTGATGCAGACTACCAAAGCAGTTGTTCCTCTGTCCTTAATGGTTTGTGTCTTACTTTTACCCATCGAGATAGGCTACAGTAGACTTAACTATATCCTTTTAGACTTCCCCATATTACATTATATATAGTTGTCGTTAATATAACAGTGGTATAACTCCACTAGTATCCTAGGATCTAAAATGATCAGAAAGTTGAAAAATAATTTCAGATTTAACACTGACAATGTTCTGGTATACCAGGGTATTTTATCTTTGTTACAACAACCTAAAGTTGAGTGGAGTGACTTGGAAACCAGTCCTTTGGGAAATAAAGTTTGTACATATTTATACTTTATAACCTTGCTATAGGTAATATGGATTGGTAGACAAAGCATTGACCTCAGCCTATGTGCTTGTGACTTGAGTATGATTTTGTGACAGACGATCCCTCATTCAGGGTAAGATTGATGACTAAGCCAGGCTAATGAGGTGGCACGAGGCAGTGGCTCTGTCCCGTCCCATAGATGTGTGTGTGTCACTGTCTTGTTGGAGTGCTTCCAGGGAGCCCGTGTGTAGGCTGAGCTCATTCAGGAGAGATTATTTAAGATACACTGTGGGGTCTTGATTCACAAACTTATTTAGTTCTTTCTGCAGTTCTGGTTGCAGAATTTGTTCCAACCAGAATTGTGGAGTTAATTCTGGGACCAGAGTTGTGGAAAGAATTGTGTCTGTGAGCCAAGTTGCCACTGTGTTAAGTTTTTAACCAGGCTTGCCCTCTGGTATACACATTGGTAGGTAATGTTAGGTCTTCAGTAATCTTTCTAGGTTTTCTACATTTTTCTACAGGCTACGAGTAGGTACATTATAGGTAAGGCTGCTCTTTCAAATAGACTGTTCTTAATAGTAATGACTGTATTAAACAGGATTATTTTGGGATTAGAAATAGAACATTTTTCTGAAGAAAATCATTTAACTACTAAAAAAACAATAACCAGAAACCAAAAGCCAGTGGAATAATGTGAGAATTAACAAGTCCCACAGGCAACTCTCAAGGACTTTTAAAGCTTCTGTGCTGTTTAACTTTTCAGATGATTATTGGGGCTCCCATTTTTAGCAATAATTAAAAATTTTAAATAGTTTAAAACTTAATTCCTTTGGGGGGGTGCTGGGGATCAAACTCGAGTCCTTCCACTTCACTTGCTAGGCAGGTGGCGGAACCACTGAGCCAAATCTCTGGCTCCAAATTTAATTCCTTACAGCAAAGAGGAATCTCCAGTTGCTGTTTGTAATTTTAGTGGCTTTTGATTTTTCTGGCTGAGAAATTATTATGCCAGACTTTTAATACTAAATTTTAATTCTCTTGTGTTCCATAAAATCTTAACCTTCTTGCCTGGAATCTGAGCAGCATGGCTAGAGGAAGTGGCTTATTTTTATTTCTACAGTGTAGTTTTTTAATCCTACTCTAAAAAGAACAAAATGAGCTTATAATATTTGAAAAATGTTGCAGATTTCCATGGCAGGCCTTTGCTGGATAGGTGACTTTCTTTGCTGTTTTGTTTTGAAAACAATGCAGTGGATGGGAAAGAAAGGGTACAGTTAAAATAGTAGTCTTGTCTTTTTTTGCACTGCAGACATGCACTAATAAAAATCTTACATGGCCACAAAATTTTAAAATGGGCTAATGTTATTTTTAAAATGTAATCTTTCTTTTGTAATATATGTAAACAAAGGAAATGCAATTTATTTTAGTAGTTGAAATTTGGTGCTCTTGGAAATATCTTTAGAAATTCATATCTCCTAAACCATTTAAGTCAGTTAAATTTTTATTTCTGCATTTTTATTGGTTTGTCTAGGCACCCTCCTAAGATCTTCTTTCCTACTTTTGTATTATGCCAAGGCAGTAGAATAAGGGGATATACTTCCAGTTCGGTTAAATGCTGTTTTTCATTGAGTGATTTTTAAGAATTAGAACATTATTTTATGTGGAGTTACTTATATAGTAACAACTTTAACCATAGTCAAATCATCATTACTGTTAAAAACTTGTTTTATTCTTCAGGAAATTTTAGGTATTCCATAAGAATTCATTATGAAACATATTTTGGAGTGGACTCTTAAGTGAACTAAATAACAAAACTTCATCGTAAACCATTTTGCTATATGTTAGCTTACTGCGTGGCTCTTGGTCGTTAGGGTACTGATGAGCGCAGTGTATCATTTTTACATGTATTTTAGCACTGAAGATTGCTGGAGTATGTGGAAGAATTATGAATTGCTCATTTCAAAAGTGAAATACACTGTTCTTGGATTTCTTTTCTTCTCTATCATATGGTATTTCATTGTTAAAAAGTGTTAAAAATGTTAGCAAATGGATCCCTCAGACTTGATCATTTATCTTACAGGTGACAGATTCCGATCTATTATTGATGATGCTTGGTGGTTTGGAACAGTGTTAAGTCAAGAGCCCTATCAACCACAGTATCCTGATAGTCATTTCCAGTGTTACATTGTCAGGTTTGTATACAGAGGAAGACTGACCACTTATAAACAGTTTGTGTGTTAGGTTGTTGAACGACCTATATGTTTCAGGTTATACGTACTTTTTCTGTCATTAAGTCTGTCAGGCTGACCTCTGGAACGTCTCTCAGACGTGTCTGAGTTTCCTATTCACTGGTACTCCTTTGTTCAGCTGCTGCTTGCCTCCTTGGTCTATTTCTGTAGCCCCTAATATGTTTTTTGTGTGTAATATTGTCACGGTCATCTTTTAGGAGTAGATATTATATCATTAATCTTTGAGAAAACCTTTGCTTTTCTTTGGCTAGGGACTGAAAGGGCTTTGGCTGTAATATAAAGTTCACTTAGTAAAACCTTTTACTTTGGGTACAGACTACTTGGGGTTTCTCATTTTCTTCTTAAATGTGACATTTTTATACTTTACAAAAACTCATGTATCCTTTACAGATATTTAGAGCTGATATTTATAACTTCATTGCATTTATTTGCTTTCTTAATAGATGTCTTGTTTTTATGTACAATTTATTTTTTTTAATGAAGGGTTAACCAGAGTTTTGTTGTTGTTTTTAAAAACAGGTGGGACAATACTGAAATTGAAAAACTTAGCCCATGGGACATGGAACCAATTCCTGAAAATGGTATGTATTTATTAAACAATGAAAAGGTTTTATCTTTATATAGTTTTTTATTTATTTTGCTGATGCACATCATATTGAGTACATTTGTCTTTTCTCATAAATGCGTTACTCAGAACTTTGCTAAGAGAAGACAACAGAATTTTGTGTGTCTGCCTTACTGGGGGCTGAATCTAGGACCTTCACACTGAGCCACCGCCTCTATTATTTTTTTTCTGAGATAGGGTCTCACTAAGCCACTGAGTTGTCCAGGCTGGGCTTAAACCTGCCTCAGCCTCCCAGAGTGCTGGGATTATGGGCTGTGCCGAGTCTGTCTGTCTTCCCTTTGCTTTCAGACAGCTTGATTCTAGCTAGCTGTCTTAGTAGTGTTAGCGCTTCTCATGTAACCCTCCTTTGAACTCTTGCTGACCTCCTCTGCCTAGCCCCCACTTCCTTTTTCACATTCACAGTCTGTTGCCCTGTTCTTCCTTCAAGGAAGAGATGTAACTTGACTTCTGTGTTCTGCTTTCCACCAGCCTGTACCGTAGTTCTGTGGATTTTCTGTCCTTTTCTGAACAGCAGCCCTTCTTTCTTCCAGCACATGGTGTCCTACTACTGCAGCCTTCAGGAGAGTCTGATATTTATTCTTAGTCCCTTTCCTCCAACAGTTTTATTTTTCTCCTCCCTTTCTCTGGTCATGTTTAGCTGTCTCTGCTGAATCTTTCACTTGGCTGTACTGGACATTTTAGCTACTGAATTATTTCCCTCTAGCTCAGCCTTTCGGAAGGGTGCTGTGTGTCTCTTCTCTCTGTTTCTTCATTGCCAAGCTCCCTTTTACCATTTTGCCTGCATCCTAAGACACCAGAAATCTCCTCTCTGAGATATAGCTGTGCCTGTCTCAAGGGCTCAGCCCTTTCTCCTTGTTTGTTCCCTGTCATGTTTCCTCAGCCACGGCCCAGCTTTATTTTGGAAATAAGGATTTTTATGAAAATAAGGATTTTGTTGAAATAACTTTTTCTCGTAGCTGCACCACTGAAAAGCATTGACTCAGATTTATCTTCCTTTGAGCATAGTAATGTACAAATAGTACCTGGTTGTATGAGAAGATTTTGCAGTGTATAAACATAAAAGATAAGTAAAATCCAGCTTTTTATTTTTATTTTTATTTATTTATTTATTTTTTGAGACAGGGTCTCACTATGTAGTCGAGACTGACCTGGAACTCACTATGTAGTCCAGGCTGGTCTCGAACTCATAGCGATCCTCCTGCCTCAGCCTCCCAAGTGCTGGGATTACAGGTGTGAGCCACCACGCCCGGCTTCCAGCTTTTTAAATGAACAGTGTTTTAGATGTGCAATTAAAAATGATAATGGAGTAAAATGTAGGCTCAGTAAACCAAGATACAATGCAGATGTGCAGATATTTTCCCGAGTACTATGGTTGAGAAAAAAAATCACTAAGAGGGGAAGATAAACTTTAAAGTAATTTAAAAATACCAGACTTAAAAATGTTACAAAAAGAGTACAAAGAATTTCTGAACACCTAGATTTCCCATACTAGTTCAGAAGCTGTTATTCTGGTAACTCTCGCCGACAGAGCGCGATCGTCTGATCCAGTCTGCGGATTGGCTCTGACCGTCCGCTGCTGTCCTTGTGGACGGGTCGTCGGAGTGAATGGCTCTGCTGTAGTCTCCTTTAGTCTAGCACCTCCCCCAGTCTTCCATTGTCTTTCATGATCTTGGCACTTTCACTGGACAATTATTTTATATAATTTCCTGTTGGTTTGGTCTGTGATATTTCTGCTTACTTAAATCCAGGCTGTGCATTTTTAACAAGAGTATCAGAGAAGTGTTGTGTCCCCAGTGCATCATTTCAGGAGATGCGTGTTTTCCTGATAGGCTGAGGATACTGAGGTCTGTCATTTGTTTATGATAGTATCTGTGCCTTTTAAGAGATACTTATTGACATCTGTTACTCATTTTTAATTGGTATACTTTATCGATATCATAGTTTCATCTGTTCCTTTTATATATTATCTGTATGTGTGGGATTTCTTTTTCTTTTTAATTTTTTTGGTAATGGGGATTGAACTCAGGACTTTGCGATTGCGAGGCAGAGGGTGGAACCATTGAGCTAAATCCCCTGCTCTGGGATTTCTTTTTTTAGCTTTCCATTAGTTCATTTTGGGTAGTTGTTATTGTATGTCTTCAGGTTTATTAATATTTTCTTCTAATTTGCTCTCATTACCATCCACTAGATTTTTCACCTCACACCTTTTCTTGGTACCGGGAATCAAACTCAGGACCTTGTGCTTGCCAGCCCGGTATGGCACCATTGAGCTACATCCCCAGTACACGTTGTTTTTTTAATCTATGGAAGTTAGATTTAGGTGTGGGTTTTTTGTTTTTTGTTTTTTTCATACCTCCTTGCTTTTTTTTTGGACAGTGCTATTGAATGCTCAGGCTGGCCTCAGACTTTTGACCCTGTCTCAGCTTCCTGAGAAGCTGGGATTACGGGTGTGTGCCACTTTGCTCAGCTCCCTGGCCCTTTTTAAGTACCATTCCTCATATCTCATTCTTGCAGTTGTTTTTCTTGGCCCCCTGCCATTTTTCACACTTGAAGGCTGATTGGTGGTGTTGAAGGGAGGAAAGGGGAATGGGGGAAAAAAAAGAGGATTCAAGATACATCGTGTACAGGTACAAATTCCCCTGATGAATGTGATCATTGTTATATGTAAATTGTACCAATAAAATAAAAATGAAATGAGCATAGCACTTGACAGGAACTCTGCAGCTCTCTCCTTCCCAGTTTCTTTATTCTCCTTTGACTTGGGGTACTGTGTGTTAACTCTGCTGGCCCTGCCTGGGGTGAATGTCTTGCACCATGGCAGGGCTGTTCTCTCAGGGAAGCTCGTGCAGTCTTAGAGCTCACCTCAGTTGTGTCTGTTCACCATGGGATTCTTGTCTTTGGTTTAATTTTAATTTTCTTGAAAACCATTTTTTTATGAGAGAGAGAGTGTGTGTGTGTGTGTGTGTGTGTGTGTGTGTGTGTGTGTGTATGTTACCCTATATGATATATAGATTTCCTATGAACTAATGAGTACCTGTTCTGTGCTAGGCATCCATCATTCTGAACAACTCCACGAGGCAGAAACTTTTTACTGTTCCTGTTTAGTAGGTGGATAAATTGAGACTCAAGTTAAAAATGTGCCTGTGCTGTAGGTTTTAGGTGGTATAGGTTTAATATGAATTCAGAGTCTGACTTTCATGAATCTGTTTTTAGAACACTTAGTTACGTCATCTGCTTATATAGCTTCTTTGCCTGTGTGTGTGTGTGTGTGTGTGTGCACGCGCATGCACGCGCATCTTTGGGTGTGTGTGGGTGTGTGTGAGGGGGTTTTGGGGATTAAGTCCTGGGCTTGGCATATAGTAGTCAGGCACTTTACTACTTAGGTATGTTCCCAACCCTTTTTATTTTGAAGCAGGGCCTCCCAATAGGCTGGCCTTTTGTGATCCCCCTTCCTCAGCCTCTCAAATATCTGGCTTTGACAGTTCTATACCAACATTCCTGGCTTGCCTTTTTTGGATTAGATAAAATATTAGAAGCATTACTCTGAAATAGATTGTGAAAATACAAAAATTGTGACTTTTTAGAGTGGCAGGATTTATTCCCAATATCTTTTATATTCCTGTAGAAAATAAAATTGAAATAAATTTTCTTTGCTGGAACATGAATTATAAGCTTACTGGAATCATATACTTTAAAAATTTTCTATCCCATAATTATGGGATAACTATAAGACTACTTTAAGCTAAAATAAGCCTTTTCTCCTTAAAAAAATAATAAAAATGCTATCCTTAAGACTTAGCTCAGTGGTGCTGTACCTGGCTCACAGCCTCAGTGTCCCGAGTTCGATCCCTGGTACCCCGGGGGTGGGGTACGATGACTTAACTCTGATAAACCACACCAAAGCCTTGAAGACCCTTCACAGAGATATTTAAGCAATGGGTGCTATGTATAAAATGGGGTTTTAACTGATGTATTTCATAGAGTAAAAGCTGCTATAAGTATTCTGTCCATTTTTTTTAGCTTAAAAGCTATTAGAATTATGCTCTTCTCAGTGCCTCTGTCCCTTCATAGGAAGAATGCTCTGAATAAACCCATAGCCAACATATAGTATATTCCTTATCTGAGTTCATTTAATAAATAAAGTATTTTGAGCTTCCACATAATTTTCATCTTTTTACCCAAGTTTAAAAAAAGCCCTCTCTGCTTTGATTGCACTTCTTTATTAAGAGAATTAGCATTTCTCATGTTCACATCATTTTACCCATTTTTTCTTTACTATTTAAAAATTAATTTTTGACTGTATCTAAGTTTTAGGTTTTTCTTTTGGTTTTTTGAGACAGGTCCTCACCTGTGTAGTTGAGACTGCCCTGGAACTCACTATGTAGTCCAGGCTGGTCTTGAACTCACAGCAATCCTCCAGCCTCAGCCTCCTGAGTGCTGGGATTACAGGTGTGCACCACCACGCCTGGCTGAGTTTTAAAACTTTAGTGTCAGATTGTGTTTTCAGAGGTCCCTGGGTTTTCTTTGAAGAACTAGACTGAAAAACTGTGAAGTTGGTGCTGTAGTTTAACTTGTTTCAGGTTGGATTGTATCTGTATCTAATTTAAGCAATTTGGTAATCTCAGTAATTTTTTAAAGTTGAACTCTTATTGTGGAGGTAACCTACTTTAGGAGCTTTGAAAATTTAATTTTTATGTGGTTTACATTTGGGTTTTCAGTTTTATTTTTCCTTTCCTTTCCTTTCTACTTTTTTAAAAATGGGATTTGTAGTTGATCCACCTGAAGAAGTTGGAGCGAGCATTTCTGTTACATCAGATGAGCTAGAGAAATTGCTCTACAGACCACAAGATGGTGAATGGGGTCAGAAATCAAGAGATGAAGAGTGTGAACGGATTATCAGCGGTATAGATCAGCTGTTGAATCTTGGTAAGTTTTTTAAGGAAGAAATTTTTCATTTTCAAGTTTATCATAGAAGAAGACATCTCAAAATAGCAGCATGATGAAGTTGTGTTCTTCAGTATAGCTCCTACTTGTTACCTTATGATTTGTAGTGTTATATGTAGTTCTGTCTTTGAAAAATTTATGTAGCAAGTCCATGTAGAGGGCCGGGGATTTAGCTCAGTGAGGCTGCTGCCTGTCTTACAAGCACAAGGTCCTGAGTTCGATCCCTGGTACCAGGAAAAAAAAAAATTCCACATAGAGGTAATGGATTTACTGATGACGTCTCTTCTGTCTTCCCTAACAGATATAGCAGCAGCCTTTTCAGGCCCGGTTGATTTGTGTACATATCCCAAGTACTGTACCGTGGTAGCTTATCCAACCGACCTGTACACAATTCGAATGAGACTCGCTAATCGATTTTACAGGTTAGTGGAAAACTACTTTGAAAATAGTTTAAAAGCTCTTTGGTCATACCAGCTGAGGTAAAAAATAGAGGTAGTGAGTAGCAGATGATGCTTTAAGAGTTTTGACTGGCTGCTTAACATTATTTTCTGTTTCATTTTCTTTATGATGTATTAGATGGCTTTGGATAAAATAACCATGTCTCAGTCTTCAATCTTTAGTAGTGTGTTTTTCTTAGAAATTATGTTAAATAGCTAGATTTTTTTTAATTGAGTTTATTGGTACAATCTAGGTATACAATACAATTACATTCATCATTGGGATTCTGTACCTTTACATAATAGGTCTTGATTCTCATTTTTTCCCCTTGTCCCTGCTGTCCCTTCACCCCCTCCTCCCCTCCCCATTTACAAACACTTCATTTCAATTTTTTCAGTTTCTCATATTTTTTTCCTCTCCCTTATTACCTTCCCTCACCCTTCCCACTTTCCCTACACCTTTAGTCCTTTACTTCCTATTTCACATTATTAATTATCTCATTAGGATCCTGTGTACTATTACAGTTTTTGCACCAAAGAAACTATTCGGTATTTCAGTTAAAAAACAATCTCTGTATGAACATTAAAAATAGGGAACCCTAAAATAAAACTAAAAAGGAAAGTAAAAGAGAAAAGGCAATGATGTAACATTAAAATAATCCTTAAATCTGGAGATGAAAATGGTCCCTGAACATATTTAAATTGCTTCTTGCTCTTATAGTCTTATTTTTTTTTTCATTATTTAGAGAATACTTTATTAGTTGCTGTAATCAAACCCACGTAGATATGACTTTACATATTTAGTATGCTGTGTTACCCCCGTACACATGGAAAAAAATAAAAATAAAAATAAATTAACATTTCTAGACCAATATGGCTGTCCATTTCTGTACAATGCCAACTCAACACAGTAAATTGGGATGACTTTTTCCAAAGTTGGCAGCACCATTAAAGTTTCCCAAAATTCAATTTATATATATATATGTATATATATTTATATTTATATAAAAAGACTAATAATAGTATGTTATACATCGACAGCAGCAACAGCTTTTCCAGGTTCTGCAGTCATCTGAACAAAATTATAGACATTCAGCACATTCCATTAAAAACAAAACAAAACAAACAAAAAAAAAAACAAAGAAAAGAATAATATCCAGAAAACAGCAAAGTTCTGTTGCTTTTGTGGTACTTGGGACCATTTTTATTTTATTAGCATCTTAATCATCATCTGGAAAGAGAACATTCTAGAGTAATATCATTAAATGTAGCTCTGATAAAGCATGATCCCTACTATGTTTCATAAAGCAGATACAAGATATTTTATATTCATAGAGGTATGATACAGTACCGTCCTACATCGATAATACTAGAATCAGTTTTGGTTTGAAATTTACTTTGTCTGCAAATAAGATTGCTATCCCTGTTTTTTTCTGGGCTCCTGTCACATGGAGAATTGTTTTCTATCTTTTCACTTTCAGTCTATGGGCTTCTTTTTGCACTAGGTGTGTTTCTTGTATACAACATATTGTTGGATTTTGCTTCTTATTCCATTTTGCCAGTCTATTTCTCTTGATTGGTGAGTTGAGGCCATTGACATTGATGGTTATAACTGATATGTACTGTCTTATTATTGACATGTTATTGGCCTTTTGTTGACTCTTTACTTTTTCACCTTCTCCTTTTAATTTCTTGCCTTGCCTATTTGATTTGCTCTGTTGGGCCTCCTGATGTTGTTGCCTTCATTGTCTTTTTCTAGGATCTTGTTTAGAATTCCTTGTAGTTCTGGTTTGGTATTCA